CCCCAAAACCCCAAAACCCCAAAACCCCAAAACCCCTAATTTACTAATTTTGATTGAACTCATTTCAATACTCCATAAATCACAATTAAACCTGAGAATTAGTTCAAATTGCTCTTTTTGGACATTAAGCCTATAAATGAGACACCATAGATACTTGGCTGACTCTGAGATCTGAACATAGAAGGACCTGCTGTTTGAGCCAATCTCTCAGTGCTACGTTGGGGCATTGGCACATAACTCTCATCAAAGTGGTTTGTTTGCAACATTTTCCTATAAGACCAAGAATTATTGACATTCTCATAGAACAGAGACAAAATGTGTCTTACTTATTGATAGTATTTAAAGCCATTCTGGAGTTGATGCCTTCCATAAACATTGGCATTCTAGGATCCCGAGGCTGTCTTCCTTTGTAGCTTGAAAAATTCGGTGAGCTCACTGACTTATATTTCGAATTTTTCTTCTCGTATTTTTCGATATTATCAAGTACTACAGAATTGTTGTTCAAAGACGATATAGCTTTCTGATTCATCAATGGAGGTCTCGGTAGCATCTTGCTGAATGGGTACTAAACAGTATTTCCGATTAAATGCTTTGCTAAAATCCCTGATTCCCATAGAATACCTAGCTGAACTTACACAATGGATTTCTTGCGGAGTGGGTTCATACACTGAAGGAGTGAGGTTTATCTGGTACTTGTCACTATCTCTTCCCAAAGATTTCTAAGGGTTCACATGAAAATATACCTTTATATCTTTAGTAACCACTTTTCTACATGGATAAGCGCTAAACCTTACTTTGCACGGGTGCTTGAGCTGGGGAAGGCATTGAAGGAGATGAATCTTTTTGGATGAGGGTTTCCAACTGTCTGCATTTTATGAAACTTTTCCCTCTTCTTCATCCTTCCGTAATCAATAAAACCAGTCTGTTTGTCCTTTAGAATGATATTCTCAAGTGCAGGCTCTGACTTGTCAATCACTTTCTTGCTGACTGTTTTCTTTAGTGTCCATTTCATGCCTAATAAATTGTCTTAGGAGGTACAGATCAGATAAAACCAAACTTTTATGAGCAAATTCCAGATGCTTTAGATAATAAAATACAACTTCTCTCCTTCCTAACCCCTTCTACCTCCTCTAACCGCCATCAGGAAGCACTGATCCTCCAAAACAACTATTCCCAAATATACAAGTGCTCTAACAAAGCAAGCCAGGCGGCCAATCTAAAAGACAGACATGCGGCAGCTGGGAAAACTTACACGATGGCCTCTTATCAACTATATATCAGAAGAAAGTAGTTACTTAAGCTGTAGTTTATGGTAATCCCTCTCGTAGATATAGGAATCTCAGGAGCTGATTGTGTGTTTGGCCTGAACCTATCAACATTTAACCAATGCTATTACAATCACTTACCTCTTGAGAGGCTTGTCCTTATTAGTCTAGAATATTAGCGGAAGAGTACCTTCTTCTTAGGAGTAGTCTTTCCCATTGTTTGAGCCCTCATCATCTTTGCTAATAGAGGGATTTGGATATTCTTCTGGCTATCCATATCAAACCATTCAGGTCTAGAAAATTATAAAAATATTCGAGAGAGCCAATACAGTAAAATTTATGCTCCGAAAGCTGCTTACAAGTTTTTATCTCCATTCTTGTTGCCATTCTTTGATGAGAATGTATTAGGCTTGATTATGAACTTCTTTTCAGTGCCATTGAGGATCTCAACAACTTTATTTTAATATTAAATGCTTCTCGGCAGTGAACTTTCCAACTCCTATAAGTTATTTAGACACTATTGACAAGTCATTTGCGAAAGTAAAATCCTTACTTGAAAGGAACTTCTTTTTGAAGATTTCAGGGACCTCATTCTCTGGCTTCTGTTCCTATATATATTACTCAAGCCCAAATAAAAAGGAAGTACCATTTCAGATTATTTTATTCAATTTATTAATAAGTTGACGGGGTTTTGGGGTTTTGGGGTTTTGGGGTTTTGGGG